GGCCATTCAGCCAGTTTTCAATCCCCCTCACTCTCTGCTCATCCAGCCTCTCCTTCAGCAGCTGCTTTGTCAGGATTTTATGGGAGGCAGTGTCGAATGCCTTAGTCATCTAACAAGGCAGCCATTTCATTGGAGAAGTTTATCCGAAGTTTGTCAAATAGCAATGGCATTTCCTTTCATCGGCTGTGCTCTGGGCCTCTGTGGTGTGTTGGTTGGGGTCTGGCACTTGGAGGGCCATGATGTTATGCCATTGTGTAGCCCATAAAGATTTGGCCACCTCAAAAACAGGGAGGATAGGAGGGAAGTGCTACCAATTCTGGACATTGCTTGGTAGCAAAGAAATAATAGTGGGCTCTATCCAACTTCTCCAACCTCTATCGCTCTCAGCTCTGTTTAGTTATGAAATGCAGATGTCAAATGTTTTAAAATAAACTTGTCCTGAGAACAGTTTCACCATTCAACGTGTTCATAGGTAATGCATTTCAGAAATGACTGTATAAATCTAGATTTATGTAGAGGGAGAGAAAGGGTGATCAGCTGTCTGTTCTGTGTCAATGGCCAATAGAGAAATCAATCCTGAGGATTTATAGGAAACCCTCAAAACTCTGAAAATGAAGACTTCTTACACACTTATTACCCTCAGCTCTTTTCTGCATATGTTTCAATGTGTACCTATCATCTCCATTGAAGGGTTGATGCAGTTGCCCACACAGGAGTGGCCACTGCCTCCAGGATACCCTGAGGTAGCTGAAGACCTCATGCGGGACCGAGAAATGTGCAGCAGGACCAATGGCAGAACTTCTGGAGCATGAGCTGTTGGACAGGCAGGGTGTGTCAAAGCCTCTTGGCTGAGACAAGTGATTTCTCTCCCTTGACTAGAAAGGGAAGCCTTTGCATTTGCACCCATGGTTCCTATTGTTAGAGGTTATCACTCTCATCCCACCTTCACCTACAATAGAGTCACCTGTAATTTTCCAAGCAGGGAATGAAAAACAAGTGTGTCTAGATGATGCGGAGTCTGCTTGAAGACGTTCCTGTAACCCAGATATGTTGGGGTTAGTGCAGATTTGACTATTTAAAAGGGAACATTTCATTCCCTTTGTCTCTTTGCTCCCCTCTGCGAATCAAGGCAGCTCGTGACTTCAGTGTGTGACACACTGTGTGCAAAAGAGCGAATATGGAGAAACAAACAAAGTCCAGGACAGGGAATGTTTTGGGAGGTCGTGGGTTCTGTGACTAAACACAAACTGTGTTTTCTGTTGGCCTAAGGTTATCCTCTCTAGGAAGCAGGTTTCAATGGAGGTAATGTGGACTTAACACCTCGCTGAAAAATGTCTTTTATTTTTAATTGAACTCTGCCTTCCTTGGTTTTCATATGTAGGCAATTGAGAAACACCCTTCTGTGTCTGTGTGCCACTCATTCTCCAAGTAACACAGGTGGGAATTGGTGCCCATGGGCTGAAACACACAGCTACAGACTTCAGTGGAGGTAGCTCAGATTGGACCAGGGCTGCTCCAAGTCCCAGGTGGCTGATGAGAGACATGGTAGGTTGGGGGTAGGGATGAAGACTGACCACAGGTTGTGGAACATAAAGGCTCTGGATTTTCATATCTATTCACACTGAATTAGAAGATGCACAGGATCAATATCAGTTAGAGATTGCTGATAGCAATTCATGTATAAGCAGAGAAATAAGGTGGAGAAAAAGAAACCCTTTCTTGTTGTTTAGTGTTCATATCATTTCACTTTGATTACACTCCTGAAACTGCTCTTATTAACCACATCAGAATTGAAGGCTTAAAAGAAAACTACAGAAAGCAACTTGACTTGTTAGGGTGTTTGGCATGTTAATGAGCCCTCTGGTGCTGACGTCCTGAACTGCAGATCCTGAAAGATTGAACAAGACTCTAGAGAAGTAAAAGTCAGCAGCAAGCCTCCAAGTTTCCGAGCGTGTTAGTGGGCCCCAGTGAGGGCCATCCCTGAAAAGGCCATGGAGGGAATGACCAGAAAAGGGACGATCCCTGGGAGCTGGTGAAGTAGGAAGTCAGAGGCATGGCTTAGAGGTGGAAAACCAAGCGTGGAATGTAGCTGGGAAAACCCTTGATGTGTTTCACCAAGCAGGACAGTCAAGCCCTGACCCCCATCCTCTGGGAAAGGGGATCTGTTACCTCCTACGATGCTTGGGGCTCTTCCAAGGAGCAGTGAGATGTGGGGGTGTGTAATGCTGAGTGCAGGACAGGATCCACAGCGGGTGGGTGAGGAGGCAACAATGCTCTGGGGCTGTAAGAACCTGGTGT